TGTACTGTGCTTTCCAATATTTGTATCCAATTTCCGCATTTTCTGTGCAAGAATGGGAAGAGAAATGTATTTTCTTTATATTTTATCTTTTTGTGGCAGATGTCCTAGACATCCAAGATGCTCTTGGTGTTCACCATGCAAAACCAAGGACTTGTCCCTTCTCTGAAACCTCTTCTTGTACAGCCAAATATTTTAGACACTCATTACTTCCCCTTAAATCTCAACAGCCTGCCTGTATATTTAGCCCCAGTTTTTGAAAGTAAAGATGTTTCCCTTGCGTGCCCTTACTATTAATGCCTTTTTTTGCTTGTTTTTTTTTTCCCGCATCCTTTCCTCCAGTTGATTTCCATGTAAATGAAGTGGAAGAGGACTTGAGCTGAAAAAACATGTGTTTCTCCTGATACTCCGTTTCTAGACAGACTGCCAGGACTCAGTGCTGGCAGCTCCTTGCCTTTTTCTTAAAAAATGAGTCTGCAAATGCAGCCGTGAAGAGTTTTTGCATCCCATGTAACATGTCATCAGAAAAGAATGGTACTTTCTAGGCACATTCCCAGGTGAGGAGTTGGGGGGGGTGTGTTGGGCCATTGGCTGGAAGCTCCACCTGCTTCGCCAATACTCGTACCATATTGGCTGCCAGCCCTCCGATCCTAAAAGACATTTCCATCTTGTTAATGACTTGTCCTTTAAAAAAATGCAATTTCTTTCCCCCGTGGATGTGAGACGAGCAAGATTTCAAGAGGGTAGCCACTAAATTCTTCAGAAGCTGGAATAAAATTGATTTATCTGAACTAGTCTTCACTCAAAATCGTTTGTTGGGCATAGCAGTGCAGGTAAAGCTATCCTAATAGAAAATAAAGGTTATTAGCTAAGCCAACAAAAGGTTATTATGTTATGCTACTGGGATGGAACTTGCTTCCACCTTAAACCAGTTTCCTGATTTAAACATTAAAATCTGTCATTTCTGACCATTAGGATTATGTCAATGGTAGGGGTTTAGCTTGTCACCTGGGAATCTGTAGAAACACTGGCTTTTTTGGTGGAGCACTAAAATCTGGCTTGCTTGGTAGAGGTTCAGACAAGCCAAGTGCGAAGGAGGCTTCTAAGTGAGGACAGAAGAAGCATAATACTTCATGGCCTTCACTCTTGTGTTAAGGAGAATTTGACACTCCTGGTGTGATGATGGACATCAAGTTAGTGAGTGGGAACTAAGGAACAAGAAAGAAGGTATACCTGAGAAACTGACAGCCCAGTACTTTTCTTCCGGGCACCCTGTGGAACTGCTACCAGTTGCGCAAAGTCTGCGATGGAGACAAATTTTGTCAGTTTGCTCCATCATCATTTTACACCACATTGGAAGGGATAAGTCTAGATGCAAAGTAGTGGAGAATCGAGGATTGTTTAATTGCAATAAACAATATTCCACCACAAACTTTGCATAACAGGCATGAAAGGACTATTAGAGGCTTCAGAGCTTCTGATTGACATTATGGGAATAAAACCACCAGCCCAGGAGCTAGGCTACGTTTCACTGTGCATATTAAAATCTTATTTCAGTCCTTGTTATTGTACTTTTTCTTGCCTGCGGTGTTTATCTACTTCAGATCTTGTTAGTGTTATCTTATCATTGTGTGCTGTTAACAGTCCAGAGGAGTTAGTGTTGGCAAATATTCCAAAAGATGTAATGGTTTACTATTAGGAGACTTGCAGTTAAATAAATTACCTGTTGGAAGGGAGAAAAGGATAAGCTTTTCAAAGCAATCCTTTAAGAAAATTAACATATTTATTGTGTTATTTTGTGCATCAAGGTCATCTTTGGAATTTTTTCTTTCCTTTAGCTAAGTCCATGCATTGCCTGTGAAAGTTGGGCTAGGGCCACTCTGCCACGTAGTAAACATAATTCAAGAGAGTAAAATCATATGTCAGGTCTACAAAAGCTTAATTTTTTCTCCAAAAATTGCTGTGGGTTGAAAAAAATCTGCATGGCAAAATGGAAGGAAATTGTAAGTGCTTGAATGAAGAAGGTGGAGAACTCAGGCACAAATCTGCAAAGGTGCAGGTTTGCAGAACCATGCTGAGGTTTTAGCTAATAAGCTTTATTTTCACAGTTGGGACAGAGTGACCATGTGCACCCAGCTGGTTTCTGTGACTCATTTGACAGATGGTAATGTATGACATCACCAAAACTCATGTTTTATCCTGTATTTTGAGCATTGATTTTGCACATAAGTGCAGTTGTACATGTACTATCAGCCCAACTCTTGGGAAAATGATACAGATCTGATTGCACTACCTGTCTGCTAGCTTTCACTGAATAATTCTTAAACTTTTTTACCAGTTTTGACAGCTAGCCGGAGGCCTCAAAGATATTAATTTCTTGTGAATGCTGTAAAGAATTGGCAGCTAGTCACAGAAAGGGATCTGTATTCAGCCATGACAGTAGTGGAGACGTGAAGAACTTGGCCATCGTCTTCTAGCTGGCAGTAGCCAGCAAACTGAGGGCAGGGTGGAAAACGCAAGATCAGATTAGCACTCCCCAGTGAGGCAAAGGCAGTTATAATTCAGATCCTTGTCCTTTCTAAGAGGCAACAGCCAGCTGGTCAATCAGCATGCGCGCGCTGGCTGATCCATCAGTGCTCAGATAATCATGGCATATGCTGTGAAGCATGGCAAATAGGTGGGTAGGAGAGGGAGATGGATAAGCAGCAGGAAAAAATTAGGTGACACAGGGCACATGTCCTTAGGAAAACAGTCATTCGTAGTTCATTTACTACACAGTGAGCAACTTTTTTGCTCCACCATCACCACGTGTCCAGCCTGTAGAGATTGGCCAGCAGCATGAGAAGGAATATTTGAAGGAGGAGATGCTCTTCCGCATGCTTGTCACTGCTTCTCCTTTCAGCAGCTAGTTATCTATAACATGACCAGCTATATATAACAGGCAAAGGTGGGGTTTTTTTGTAAGATTTGAGGTTGTCAGAAAGTGAAAGAAATGTAACAAAAGCCAGTGGAAGACCCCATGAGTTTGTTAGAATATGGCTAAATCTGCACTTTGAAATTCATTATTGGCTTTAATCAGACTTACCCAGGTTTATAAGTCTAATGACTTTGGTGACCTTTAAAAAAAGGTCAAGCTTGCTTGCCAAGTAGATTTTCTGCATCTGAAACGTGTAATTATCATAAAAATTATGAAGAGTGTAGATCTTCCTCAAATTCAGTGGAAGATTGTTCATTCTTTATTCTGTGCCTTCAGCAGTAACAGCTGAGGCCAGTAAATCCCGTGATTTTATTAATATGCTTTGTTTAGCTAGGCATGTTTTGCAAAATATTCAGTAAAGTCATAGTTTTAGAATCTTTCTTTTTGTGAGATGATTAGTCAACGTCTTTGGATGTCTCATTTCCCTTCTGCAAGAACAGAAAACATGAATCTAAACTTAGACCTCTGATCCATCTGCATTCACATTTCAGCAAGGTACTTAAGACTGCTGCTTTATTGATGTTTCAAGAGTTGCTTTGGACAGAAACAAAAAAAAAAAAAAAAGAGGATCTGATACCACTAGTATTTTATTCAAAAAGAGAATAAGGAAAGAGGAGCTCCACTGCCTATTTCACTTGAATTATTCTCTGCTCCTCAAAGAAATGCAGTTAGAAGGGGTCGTATCTGCTGACTCAGTATGGGGCAGATGTGTTAATGGTATGCTGCTGAGCAAACGTCATTCCAAACACTTTTTTATCAGAGTAGCTGGCTGCTGTCAGATGTGCTCACTGTGGTGCATAGCACGCAAAAGGAAGGATAGAGGGTGGTTCTCCTCTTTCTTTGGATGTACAGGGAGCAATTGGTGTTTGGGTACAGGGGCTGCCTTTTTTAAGACCTTACAATTTACCTGGGTGGGAATTTGTAAGACACGGTGTAGCAGATCAGATGGCGGAGAGGACCCATTTGGAGACTCACATGATCAAGGGAGGGAGAAATCGTGTGGTGAGAAAAGGCTGAAACGGACTGCCAAAAGTCTATCCCTTCTCCAAGAGCAGGAACAACACACTGATGCTGATTGAGATACAAACTCATCCTAACCATTCATAAAAGTTTACAGAAATTGAGTCTCCATAACATCTCCAAGCAATTTGTTTCAGGGTTTCATCACCCTTGCTGGTTGAGAGTTTTTCTCATGGTACATCATCCTTGTTCAGACACGGATGTACCATTCCCAGCCTTTTTTAGCAACCCTTGCCTATTTGAAGGCTCTTATCATCTTCTTCTCTGGTGGCTGACCGTGGCTGGAGGCCAGGTGCCCACCAAAGCCACTCTGTCACTCCCCTCCTCAGCTGGGCAGGAGAGAGAAAATATAACGAAAGGCTCGTGGGTGGAGATAAGGACAGGGAGATCACTCACCCATTACCGTCATGGGCAAAACAGACTCAATCTGGGGAAAATTCGTTTACTTTATTGTCAATCAAATCAGAGGATAATGAAAAATAAAAACTAAATCTTAAAACACCTTCCCCCCACCTCCCTTCTTCCTGGGCTCAACTTCACTCCCCATTTCTCTCCCTCCTCCCCCCGAGCGGCGCAGGGGGACAGGGCATGGGGGTTGGGGTTGGGGTCAGGTCATCACACCTCATCTGTGCCGCTCCTTCCTCCTCAGGGGAGGACTCCTCACACTCTCTCCTACTCCAGTGTGGGGTCCCTTCCACAGGAGACAGTTCTCCACAAACTTCTCCAATGTGGGTCCTTCCTATGGGCTCCAGTTCTCCATGAACTGCTCCAGCATGGGTCCCTTCCATGGGGTGCAGTCCTTCAGGAATGGACTGCTCGAGCATGGGTCCCCTATGGGGCCACAGGTCCTGCCAGAAGACCTGCTGCACCACAGGCTCTCCCATGGGTTCACAGGTCCTGCCAGGACCCTGCTTCAGTGTGGGCACTCCACAGGGTCACAGCCTCCTTTGGGCGTCTCTGCTCTGGCACCTGGAGCACGTCCTCCTCCTCCTCCTTCTTCACTGACCTTGGTGTCTGCAGAGTTGTTGTTGTCATATATTCCCACTTCTCTCTCTGACTGCTGTTCCCCAGCAGGATTTTTCCCCCTTCTTAATTGTGTTATTTCAGAGATGCTACCACCATCACTGGTGGTCTTGGCCTTGGCCAGGTGTAGGTCCATCTTGGACCCGGCTGGCATTGGCTATGTTGGACATGGGGGAAGCTTCTGGCATCTTCTCACAGAAGCCACCCCTACAGACTCGCCTGTTACCAAAACTTTGCCGCGCAAACCCCATACATCCTCTTAGCTGCATTTTCTCAGGATGAGATCTTGCAAGTGGTTGAGGATGATCTACTCTGCTCTTATGCTGAAAAAGTTGTCTCCAGCTTTCTACCACCAAAAGCCACATCTCCCTATCATCTCTCAAAGTCAGGATTTGGTCATGTTTTAACAAAAAACTAATCTTAATGAATAAAATGCAGCTACGTTTGGTGTTGCTGAAGAGCCACACAAGTTCTGGTGCCATGGCTGAGGGGGCAGAGCACTAGGCTAACTCAGGAGCAAGGGCAGTTTTTGGCAGGAGTGGTGTATTATTTCCTCTTAAACTGATCAGGGAACACTGCTGTACTAAACAAATCAGGGTCTTTTTCCATCTTTTCGTCTTGCGCTTTGGCATTACTTTGTATTCCTTTGCATTAATTTCCTCAGATTGGTCTGTATGTTCCTTTGGGAGCAGTGTGTAAAATTAAAAATCATGTGCACGTAAGGACACTCCAATACTGGCAAAAGGCCTTTGAGTTTTAATTAACTGCTATGGTACAGGCGTTCTTATGTTTATACATCACCCTATTGCTTTCGTCTTTGTTGCCAGTGCTATTGCTGACTCACATCCAGCTGATAGCATACAGTGGCCACATCCCATGTTGCATGAAGGGTATTGAGATAAGTTCACACATGAAGATTTATTAGGAGACTCCGTAGCTGAAGGCATATATTGACTAATGGTGGAGTTGTTTTGTAGGAAAATAATAGAAAAAGAAAATAGAGAGGATGGAGAGAGAGGAAAGGGAGAGCTCTCTGGTGGACAGCCAGGAAGAAAAGTAACAGAGGTCCCCAGAAGAACATCATACCTTTGGTGTCCTCTCTGGTGGTGCAGATGGTTCCTCTCCAACTGTGCTTTCTTTTCCCAGGGTAATGACATCATTTTCATTAGGTCCTGCTCAAACTCCCTATTGATTGTTTTCCTGCTTGTGATGCCATTAGCACCAGCTGGAACACGTGTTGATGAGGGGTAGGTACTGTGTGCTGGTTGGCTGTTCAGCTTCGTCCTTGTACATTATTGGATGTTCTAACATAAAGCTACAGCCAACGGTTGGCAAAAAGGGCAAGGAGGGTGTGATCATCACACCAGGGGCCATTGCATCCCTTGAGATTTTGCTGTAACAACATCGTCAATGCAAAGGCTGAGGCACCTTCAAGCACTGTGCTGGTCCCAGGTCCTTCAGGTGGTCTGTTCTGCCTTGATGCATCATTTGCCTGGCTACTTCCTCCCAAGGAAAATACCTTGCACTCACATATGTTGAAGAACATCCTACGCTTTCCTGCCATATGTCCAATTTGTTAAGGCCGTTTTAAATCGAGCCCTGTTTCCGATCAACTGGCAGTCCCTCTCAGCTATTGTCTGAAGATTCATGAGGCATACCTTGTATTCTGTCAACCAAGTCCTTAAAGAAAATTGAAACCCAAATGATACCAGAACCCTGGCAGCAACTTGCAGGGCCTCACGGTTTTCATCTTCCCCCTTTGACAGAAATACATTGATAGCTATTTGCTGAGTAGAATTCTGTACCCACCTTAGGTATAGCTGTGCTGCCCATTCCTACTTGCTTACAAACAATTTAATGTTTCATGGCAGTTTAATTTAAGTTTTTAATTTAATGGCAGTTACGGTGCCAGTTATACAGTAAGAGGGAAAGAATTTCATAGTCAAATTGATAAAGCTCAAGGAGGAAAAAAACCTTAAATCCCTCATCTTGTATAAAAATCTGAAACGGATTTTTTCATTAAAAAGGCGTTAAGAGACACATCGAATACAATTGAATCTCTTGCACTGTGGCTTAGTTGTCTCATAATTGGAATGGGCAAAGAGCACACACCCCATTAACGGTGGTAGTTCAACCAGTGCCTGGTAACTCATTACACTCCCATAACTCATTTTTGGTTCTTTGTGGACCTCTATTCAGTAATGAATTTTCCACATAGCTCTAAGTGCATCACAGGCGGTGGAGCTGGGTTTTTCTCACATTGGAGCTGGATTTGCATTCATGTTATGCCATTCATCGTGTAGGAATTACTCCTGGTCTATATCAATCAAACTGGTTAGAAATTTAGGCACTGAGCATGTAATAATGTCAGAACCTCTCTGACATCAGCTATGATGTCCATGCTGTATGATGACTACTGCTATGGCGTGAACATAAACAGAAAGTGCAGATAATATTAAGTAGAGGTGAATGCATGCAGGCACTTCCCAGTTATGTTGCTAATAACAACATTTTTTAGGATGGGTAATCGTTAGCATAACTGAGAAAAGAAAGAGCACAGTTCTGTGGATTTTGCCCTGCTGTCTCACAGCGAGTTGCTTGAGTGTCATCTCTCCCTCCAAGAAACTCAAGTGAGCTCCATCACTTCTTCCAAACACTCATTCAGCCATGGACATGGACATGGACGTGGGCGCGGACTTGGATATATACGACAGAAATAGCAAAACCATTCATGGCCAAAACCATGAAAGAGTACTGTCATCTGCTGTCAGAGTATTTTTTCCATTTATTCAGCAAACAGAAGAAAAACTGCTTTGGAGTTCCAACATTTTATTATTTCTTTTAAAATATTCCAGGATTTTTTTTCTTTTCTTTTCTTTAAGCCTGTCAGAGTTAAGAGGGTGCAGTTTGCTGTGTCTTTCACTCATGCCCTGTTGCAAGCTATTCTTGTAACAAGATCGTGGATCTGATACTATGCATTAAAATTTATTTTCAAAATCAAAACATTAAAATAGCTCAAACAACCAAAATAGTTATGTTCACTCCTAACTTAGTGAATGATTAAGGGATGGTCAATATGAAAAAGCTGAAAGACTCACATACGTAAACACAGAGATTCAGATGCATTTCTGCTACAACTCCTGCAGTCACTGCAGGGTTGACATTAGACTTTTGCAAATATTTCTAACTTTTTAAAAAACATTTGATAGTAAGGTTTAAATATAAAATTATCACCCACAAGTACTATGAAGATTTTCCAAGAGCAATGAGAAAATAATATTTATATTTTGAAAAAAAAATATCTATCAAATGCTATTAATAATTTTCTCTGCTTCTCAACAGCTATGCTTCAGAAGGGCAAGGAAAAGAGTTTAGATTTTTTAGCACCATGAAACATTTTTTTAACTGAATACCTCCTATTATTTTGAGCAACTCAGTCATCCTTACTCCAGAAAAGTTTCAAAGCATGAAATACAAATTTGTATTTACTTTATTCTGAGGGCAAAAGAAAGGAGATCTTAGGAAAGAAATCATCTGCAAATATATCCTGATGAAACTGAAGGTTGTTTGCAATTGGGTCTGAATTTTACTCCCTTATGGGTGATTTTTTCAGGGATTTAGAGTGATTATTTTTGTCAAATTTCATTTCATAATAGAAATTGTTTTGATGTTCTTCCATAACATTGTAGTTCACAAATACCTGCATGCAGCTGTGTGGATTTGGAACTCTACAGTTCAATGGCTTTGGATCAGGCACTACAGCCTTTTAGACAAGGTCAAGAAAAACATGGCAATGTGTAAAATTCTTGGAGAGAGAATTTTTTGGATACTGTGATAGTATTTTCTTAGAGAATGTTTGAATCATTAATTCCCAGTGATTTTTTGTCTGGTAAAAACAGGGAACTTAACGATTTGAAGACACAATATCCAAGTCCAGTCCAGGTTAAACTATAAGCAAGCTGTAATTCAGAGGAAAATTTTCCTTACTATTAAAACAATTCTAAGTATAATAAACAAAATAAGCTACATTTCTAAATTAAGTCTGTGGACTATTCCCAAGTAATCCAAATGGGGAAACTTGCGTTTAATTTCCATTGTGTTAGAGTGGACTCCTGCTTTAAAAACAAGGAGTTGGAAAACAGTTGGAAAGAGATAAACCAGAGCAAGAATGTTGCCAATTCAGCTGTTCTTATTTTTGGAGTGGATTGCATATCCCTTAAGTCAGTGACACTGTTGCTGCCAGTGAAAAACCAAAATAAGTGATAGGGGGTTTGTGTTGGAATTGATATAAATGCTTTGTTTCATTATGTCTTGGATGAGGATTTAGCTTTGAAAGCCATGTCTTTTGGATAATTTATGTTGTCCTCCATCCAGAAGTGTTTGCATGTCCATGTTTACCGTGCCTTTATACTTGTACTATTTTATATATATGTATACATACAGGCATATGAACTATACTCTGATTTCTGGATTTAAAAGGGCACAGCTGGAAGTGCCTGCAGGATCAGAGTCCCTGATTCTGGGATCCAGGGATGCTTCTGCCCAGGGTAAGCTTCTTATTGCACTGTAAACATCCCCGTCATTTTGAATCGCCTTTGAAAAATCTTGGGGATGCTCCGCAATCTTTAGACCTTACTGTTTCCAAGACGTTTTACAGGCTGTGACTTTAACATGGAGAGTAAGCCTATAAAGAGAACTGTGAAACAAAAGCAAAAAGTTGCGACAATGAAAAGACCACTAAGCTTATTTGCCATCAGTGATGTTCACTGAAAAATTATTCAATGCTTTTTAAATTTCAAATTTAACCGTATGTCCTAATAATCCAGGGAAATTGCATCTTAAGATGCTTTTTCCCTAATCAATACTTCACATTGTCCCCTTTCAAGGTTTGTGCCTTCTAGAAAATTAGGTCGTGCTAGAACATGTGCTTGGGAAACGGTGTCAGTTAGCTGGAAATCTGACTTTAGTAAGGTTTTCCCTGTGGGGTTTACCCAAGACCTGCCACAATGTTAAGTGATAGTCTATATCCATGTGAATGACAAAATTATTTTAGCATTCTCTTAGTAAATCTAACTCGTAGTTCATGTCCTAACCCGACCTAATTTTCTAATAGAGGGGGGGACTTTGTCTTCAGAT